AGCAACTTCTTTCAAGATATGTCTCCAAAGGCAAAGGAAACAGAAGCGAAAATGAACTTTTGGGACTTCATCAAAAGCAAAAGCTTCTGCACAGCAAAGGAAACAGTCAACAAAACAAAGAGGCAACCCACGGAATGGGAGAAGATATTTGCAAATGACAGTACAGACAAAAGGTTGATATCCAGGATCTATAAAGAACTCCTCAAACTCAACACACAGAAAACAATCATATCAAAAATGGATAGAATATATGAACAGACACTTCTCCAATGAAGACATACAAGTGGCTATCAGACATATGAAAAATGTTCATCATCACTAGCCATCAGGGAGATTCAAATTAAAACCACATTGAGATACCACCTTACACCAGTTAGAATGGCCAAAATTAGCAAGACAGGAAACAACGTGTGTTGGAGGGGATGTGGAGAAAGGGGAACCCTCTTACACTGTTGGTGGGAATGCAAGTTGGTGCAGCCCCTTTGGAGAACAGTGTGGAGATTCCTCAGGAAATTAAAAATAGAGCTTCCCTATGATCCTGCAATTGTACTACTGGGTATTTACCCCAAAGATACAGATGTAGTGAAAAGAAGGGCCATCTTTCTTCCAATGTTTATAGCAGCAATGGCCACGGTTGCCAAACTGTTTTCCTGTTTTGTCATTTTTTGGGGATGTGAGAGTCAGCATAAAGTAGTAGCCACTCTGCTCTGATCATTATACCTTAGATAACATGCAGATGCAGCAGACATGCCAACATGTTCCTGCTTATTTTGCTCTCTCACACCCAATTCCTTTTCCTGACTGCTGGATTTGAGGATCTATAGTAGCCACAAGACATGACCACGTGCTTTGTTGCTTATGTACAGAAGGAACAACTTCACATAAGTTTTTACCAGCTTCTTTTGTATGACCCTACCTCATTGGCTAGATGGGCTTGGTTTCTTATATTGACTTTTTGGTGTTGCCTCTCATTCTGCAACTACTCGTTTCATATTTTCACTTCTTCAGGTCCTTCCACAATTGTTCAAGTCTGGTTTCTATGATTAAATCCCTTATCCTATAATGTGTAGTGGCTCTGCTTCCTAAACTGATTTCTGACTGATAGAGTTCCTAATCTAAGTAAAAACTAACAACCCAGATACATTCAAAGAAGCTTTTTTACAGAACTGAAATTTTGATTTATAACTAAATTCTATTCCTCATAGCTATTTCATTAATTTCTTCAGCTTTGTTTTATTTTGGCTTATGCTATATTCTTTTCCTAAATTTTGAGTTGGGAATTTAATTCATTTTTGATATGTATTTAAAGCTATACAGTTTCCTCTGATCAAAATTTTAAATATTCTTTATAGATTCAGAGATGTTATATATTTATTATCATGAATTATAAGAAAATCTCTAATTTTGGTTTGTAGTTTATTTTTTAGTCACCAGGGTTTAATAGAAGATATTTAAGAAATCTACAGGGTTCATGTCCTTTTTATTTTTATTTTTTTCTGTTTTACTCAGATATAATTAATATATAACATTATATAAGTTTGAGGTAATACAGCTCATTGATTTGATGCATTTATATATTATAAAATGATTACCACCACAGTTACCTAACCCTTCCATCACTTCATATAATTACCATTTCTTTTTTTTTTAAGATTTTATTTATTTATTTGATACAGAGAGAGATCACAAGTAGGCAGAGAGGCAGGCAGAGAGAGAGGGAAGCAGACTCCCTGCTGAGCAGAGAGCCCATTGCCCGGCTTGATCCCAGGACCCTGAGATCATGACCTGAGCTGAAGGCAGAGGTTTAACCCACTGAGTCACCCAGGTGCCCCTACCATTTCTTCTTCTTAAGATGTGTTCTCAGCAACCTCCAAGTATGTAATACAGTATTAACTATAATTACCACACTCTACATTAGATCCACAAAACATACTTGTCTTATAAATGAAAGTTTGTACCTTTTAACCAACATCTCCCCATTTCTCCCACTCTCCAATCCGTGGTAACCACCATTTTACTCTGTTTCTATAGGTTCCGCTTTGTTAGATTTTTACATGTAAGTGATACCATGTAACACTTTTCTTTCTCTGTCTAACTTATTTCACTTAGCCTAATGCTGTCAGGGTCCACCCATGTTACTGCAAATGGCAGAATTTCCTTCTTTCTCCTGGCTTAATAATATTCCTCCGCATGTATATACCACATCTTCTTCATCCATTCATCTGTTGACTGATACTTCAGTTGTTTTTATATCTTGGCTATTGTGAATAATGCTACATTAAACATTGGAGTGTTATATCTCTCAAAGATCCTGATTTCATTCCTTTTGTATATATCCTCAGAAGTGACATTGCTACATCATTTATGGTACTTCTGTTTTTGATTTCTGAGGAACCTACATATTGTTTTCGAAGTGACTGAACCAATTACATTACCAGCAGTGGTGTGCCAGAGTTCCGTTTTCTCTACATCCTAGGCAACACTTATTATCTATCTTTTTTTTTTAACAATAGCCATTCTAACAGGTGTGAGGTGGTTTTGATTAGCCTGTCTTTTGAAATTAGTATTATTTCACTTAAATTTCACTGCAAAAACCAGTATTTTTTTCTGAAGCTGAGTATGTTTTATATTTTTCATTACAAATGAAGAAATTAAAATGCAAAATAATGTGGTAATGTATTCAAGGTAATATAGTAAAGTCTTACCCTGTGATGTGAACCCAAACCTCCAAATCTGACATCCAGTGCTCTTGATATTACACCAGCTGCATATAATGTAGTTTCACCAGATTATTTTCTTTTACCTTATGAGTACAAGCTAGGCACTATGTAAATATTTTAAAATTTATTGTTAATAGAGAAATAGTTAATAGTCTTCTAAATTGTATGGGTTATTATGCTGATTATGTAGAGATACTAAGGACTTGATAACCATTCACCGTCCTTTATATATTTAGAATGTATCAGCTATTTCTTCACTTTTCATTCTCTTTTCTTCCCCTACTCTGTAATGATTCCAGTGAATATTATAAAACCTAAACTCTTAACCATTCATTGATTCTATTATTTACAGTATAATTTTTTCTCCAAACAGAGAAACACAGCCCTTATTCTTAAAAATTAGTGGAGTAACAGAGAGATAACATTTGTAATTCCACAAGTCAAATTAATAGATCTTACTTGACTTTGCTGTGGTCCAAGAAAAAAAGTAGTTATCCTTTATGGCTTCCCTGCCCCACAATATCCATACAGTGTACATAAAGCACTTAAGAACAATATAATATTTTGTGATCCATCTTTAATTCTGACAAAACTAACTTGAGTGTTTTAATAACTCTCACTGCAACTGGAATATCTGTTTATTCCCCAAGCAGCTGCTGGTCTTTTTCATGCCATGTAATTTACTGGATCAATTCTTACTAATAAAGACATTATAAATACAAAGGTCCCAAGGATTGTGAGCCTCCTTTACTTAGAAATAAGGTGCAGTATTGATCTGAGGTCACTCTGGAGCAATTGTCATTGTTTGTAGGTACTAGCTGAATTTTGCAGTATTAATATGTGCATGGAAAGGATCTTTAAATCATCCAGATCAACCTACTTATATTATTTATGAAGAATCAAGGCACCAGTTGATTTTTTAAATTATCTAGGACAAGATTTGAATTCACATTTTCTGAATCTTAGGTTGCTGCTATTTCTGCTATGCCAATTTAAGTGAGAGCTGTAACATCCATTTTAATATCAGGTATGTGGCTGCAGAAACAAATCTAAAAGTTTCTGGAATGTATAAAGTCAGAAGAACAATGTGGGATTAAAGAAGGGACACCCAAACTTCAGAGGGGAAAAAAGCCAACAAATACAGTTAATTGCATGTATAAATTGTTTTAGTTTTAGAACAGTTCATTTAAAATATACTTATGGCAGGGTTTTGAGAAAGGAAAAAAAAAAGCTTAGTTTTGTGGCAACATGAAAGGAATTTGTCATGAATCTTAAGTATACATCCTCTCAGTTGGCTTTCAGTGCAGTTGTAGAGTCTCAGATCTCAGTAGAAACTCGTTTACCTAAGAAATCTAGTTTTAACTTTTGAGGCATATAGTACTATCTAACTTCTCCTAGATTCACCATTATCCTCTTCTGTCTATATATAAACCTGTCTCCTATTTGTTTCAAGTGAACTCCTGAAACAGGAAGAGTGTTCTGCTTCAAACTGCTTTGGTGAAAGTCTATAAAATCTAGCAGTTAAAAAATATCTGATTTCAGGCAGCATGTTACTTGATGGTCTTTCAATGTAAAATATACTTGGAAATGTATGAAACCTTCAGACTCTAGCTACATAATGTTCACCAACCTTGGAAAATTTTTGGCCTTGATGGTTTGGAACAGGGATTATTCATGTCTGCATAATTGGAATGAAGAACTGAAAATGAAAGGCTGTTTCATTTTTATTCTGGACAATCTCCATTGGAAAATCAGAACATACTATGTTTCTCCATAGCCATGTCCCCTCCCATTATTTCTGTTCCTTCATCCTAATCACTATAAGGAGACAGTGCCCACATTCCTTTCCACTTTTGTTTTCCCACTAATCATCTATCATGATTCTCAAATGTTGTTCACTCCAGTCCTTCAGTCATCATGATGTTTTGAAAAAGGTTACCATTCTCTCTCCCTTTAAAACTTGTTGGAAGTTAGCTGTGAATTTTCTTTATGTATTTTATAAAGTGAGGAGTAAGTCTTCAAATAGGTGAATTTTTATTTCTTTCATGAAGATTTTCATCTTAAAAGCAAATTTCTAAGTCTTAAGAATTAATCTCCAGTTCAATCAAGTAAAATATCTGGAAAGTCCATGGGGAAATATTTGACTACTATGAGCAGGGAAGTGATAAAACAGGGAACAATTTGGTAGTGGGCTGCCACTAAATTATTTCATGCAAAAAAAAAAAAATCTCATTTTGGATTTGATCACTGTATTTTTTCCTAGTTCTCCTCCCACTGGAAATGTCAGAGTCCTTCCAGAAATCAGACTGAATGGCCTGGAATAATCAGTCAGTCATAACTGAATTCATACTACAGGGTCTCTCCAGTTCTTGGGAACTCCAGATCTTCTATTTCCTGTTTTTCTCCATAGTATATGCAGCCACTGTACTGGGTAACCTCCTTATTGTGCTCACCATCCTGTCAGAGCCACGCCTTCACTCACCCATGTACTTTTTGCTGGGCAATCTCTCCTTCATTGACATGTCTCTGGCTTCATTCGCCACCCCCAAAATGATTGCAGATTTCCTCAGTGAGCACAAAGCCATCTCTTTTGAAGGCTGTATCACTCAGATATTTTTCCTGCATCTTTTAGGGGGTGCTGAGATTGTGCTGCTGATATCTATGTCTTTTGATAGGTACGTGGCTATATGTAAACCTTTACGTTACTTAACCATTATGAGCCGAAGAATGTGCATTGGGCTTGTAACACTTTCCTGGATTGTTGGCATTTTCCATGCTCTGAGTCAGTTAGCATTTACTGTCAATCTGCCTTTCTGTGGGCCCAATGAAGTGGATAACTTCTTTTGTGACCTCCCCTTGGTGATAAAACTTGCCTGTGTAGACACATACATTCTGGGAGTGTTCATGATCTCAACCAGTGGCATGATTGCCCTGGTGTGTTTCATCCTCTTGGTGATTTCCTACACTATCATCCTGGTCACTGTTCGGCAACATTCCACTGGTGGGTCCTCTAAAGCACTGTCTACTTGCAGTGCCCACTTCACCGTTGTGACCCTTTTCTTTGGCCCATGCATTTTCATCTATGTATGGCCTTTCACAAATTTCCAAATAGACAAAGTGCTCTCAGTGTTTTATACCATTTTCACTCCCCTCTTGAATCCAGTGATCTATACCTTTAGAAATAAAGATGTCAAGGATTCCATGAGAAAACTTAGCAGACATATCTTTAAGTCTAGGAAGACTGATCTTACCCCTTGATTTCCTCATACAAAAATTAAATACTTGCTCTGCATTTATCTTCCTCATTCAGTTGATCAACAAAGTGATGCTACTGCAGAAACTGATAAGTTTATGGCAGAACTATTTATGTAATCAGTCTCAGCAGTTACTGAGTTCTGGTCATGTTAATTGTTCCTCATACAATATAACATTAACTACAGGGCACCATCAAACCTATACTCAGCATTTACCACACAGAGATCCACCTTTTGGAATATTCAGCTTCTGTCAGATATAAACATTTATTTGAGTATTCCTTCCCCTGAGACATAGGCATACTTTAAGGGTAAATTTTTCTCCTAGTCTCTTGTAATAACCTCTAAGAAAAGAGGCAAGTGTGAAAGCACCAACACCTAGTATAGTAGCCTATACACTGAAGTTACAATGAGATTTTTTTATTGCTAACAAAGGTGCTGATGAATGATTATTTTGGTTCAAAATTCAGGAAAAGTGGAAGGTTCTTTGTAAGTAAGAATATTTGGTATTTAATGTTTTTCTAACCCATCTTTGATGAGAGTAATAATGTACCTCATTTATATTCTGTCCCTAGGTTCCCTAGAGGATTATCCAATTTTAAAACAGTATAGTTGACTCCAGAAAATTCCTGTAGTCTTATATATATTAAATATTAATATGTGGTATACAGCAAATTCCAGCCACACTCCCATTCTAGAAAACGAAACTAAGACCCAAGGACACAGCTTTTTCAGGTTCATGCTAATTAGGGGCAGGATCTAGGTCATTCATCTGCAAATAGAGATGTATCTTTATTTTCTAAGCAGTAACAAGTTATTTTGGAGCTATGTTTGTTGTATTGTTTTTATAATCAAAAGGTATCTTATAATTAGTAATGTCCTAAAGGATCTTTGCCATTTTCACCCTGGTTAAACACAGTATTTGGCTTAAGGAACCTATGAAATAGTAGTCTCTCAACATATTTGATATAGTTAATAACTGGAGTTTTTAGAACATAGAAATCATCTAACAGTATCTATTTATTTTACAGATGATGAAATTGACAATCAGGGAATAAAGTAACTTTCCCAAGTTCATACATCTATATGATGACAGAGTCTGTCCTAGAAAATGCCTGTCTTCTCTCTCTCTGTCTCCCTCCATCTCTGTCTCTCTCAATTGAACAAGGGCTAGGTCATCTTCAAGAACATTTGGTCATTGTCATTCTGAGAGTTGCACATAGGAAAAATGTTTAATGCATATAAGTGGACTAACTGTAACCACAAATAATTATCCAACAGCCTGCCATTGTCAAAGTTTGCATAATATTGTGATATTATACTAGGTTGGGTTTAGATAAAGAGAGTTGAATATATAGAGATGGCCAATGGTATAAACATATTGTAAAGAGTTAAAAGATAAACCAATCATTAAGGGAATGGAAGAGCAGATAAATGGAAAAAACAGATGGATGGTGGGGTTGGATGTATAGCAGGGTAAATATGTAAAATCATAAATAAGTGAATAAATATCTTAACTATATTGACTCAGTAGTCTGTGTACTAAATCTATACAACTGAAAATTGCAATTGTCACTTGTTTAAAATTATTTGAAAGGTTATTGGATTTAGTAAAGTCAAATTGGGATACTCTTAAATGTGTTTCTTTTTTTTTTTTCTTTAAATCTTGTTTTATTTTTTCAGTGTTCCAAGATTCATTGTTTATGCACCACACCCAGTGCTCTATGCAATATGTGCCCTCCTTAATATCCACCCATCATCCCATCATCCCACCCCCCTGCCTTTCAAAACCCTCACTTTGCTTCTCAGAGTCCACAGTCTCTCATGCTTTATCTCCCCCTCCAATTTACCCCAATTCACTTTTCCTCTCCTTCTCCTAATGTCTTCCATGTTATTTCTTATGCTCCACAAGTAACTGAAACCATATGATAATTGACTTTCTCTGCTTGACTTATTTCACTCAGCAAAATCTCCTCCAGTCCAGTCCATGTTGATACAAAAGTTGGGTATTCATCCTTTCTGATGGAGGCATAATACTCCATTGTATATTTGGACCATATCTTCTTTATCCATTCGTCTGTTGAAGGGCATCTTGGCTCTTTCCACAGTTTGGTGATTGTGGCCATTGCTGCTATGAACATGCATCTGTTAGCCATTTCTGTTTTCTTTGGAGAAGTGTCTGTTCATATCTTCTGCCCATTTTTAGATATGATTATCTGTTTTTTGGGGTGTTGAGTTTGAGGAGTTCTTTATAGATCTTGGATATCAGCCCTTTGTTTGTAGTGTCATTTGTGATTCTCAACAATATCCTAGCTAATAGGGCACCTGGGTGGCTCAGTGGGTTAGGCCTCTGCCTTCGGCTCAGGTCATGATCTCAGGGACCTGGGATCAAGTCCCACATCGGGCTCTCTGCTCAGCAGGGTGCCTGCTTCCCCCTATCTCTGCCTGCTTCTCTGCCTACTTGTGATCTCTCTCTCTCTCTCTGTCAAATAAATAAATAAAATCTTTTAAAAAAATCCTAGCTAATAGGATCCAACAATACATTAAAAAGATCATCCCACCATGACCAGGTAGGATTTATCCCTGGGATGCAATGTTCAACATTCACAAATCAATCAATGTCATAGAACAAATCAATAAGAGAAGAGAGAAGAACCACATGGTCCTCAGTTATGTTGATCTTTTCAAAGAACATTTTGGTTTCATTCATTTTGCCTATTATGTTACTACTCTGTATTTCATCATTTGACAAAATACAGCATCCATTTGTGATTAAAACACTTCAAAGTATAGGGATAGAGGCAACATTCCTCAACTTCATAAAATCTATGAAAAACCCACAGCAAGTATCATCCTCAATGGGGAAATGCTGACAGCCTTCCCTTTGAGATCAGGAACACAACAAGGATGCACACTCTCACCACTATTGTTCAACATCATGCTAGAAGAATCGGACAACAAAAAGAAATAAAAGGTACTCGGTTTGGCAAAGAAGAAGTCAAACTCTCTTTCTCCGCAGATTACATGATACTTTATATGGAAAACCCAAAAGACTGCACCCCAAACTACTAGAACTCATACAGCAATTCAGTAATGTGGCAGGATACAAAATCAATGCACAGAAATCGGTTGCTTCCTTATACACTAACAATGAAAATTTAGAAAGGGAAATGAGAGGAGCGATTCCATTTACTAGAGCACCAAGAACCATAAGATACCTGGAAATAAACCTAACCAAAGATGTAAAGGATCTATACTCGAGGAACTTAAATGTGTTTCTTGTGATGCAGTACAACCACTTCAGTTTAGTAATTTGTTTAATGGTCACTTGAGAGATCTACCAATGAATTAACACTAGTAAAAAAAATAAATACCTTCTCCAATGAAGACATACAAATGGCTATCAGACACATGAAAAAATGTTCATCATCACTAGCCATCAGGGAGATTCAAATTAAAACCACATTGAGATACTACCTTACACCAGTTAGAATGGCCAAAATTAGCAAGACAGGAAACAACATGTGTTGGAGGGGATGTGGAGAAAGGGGAACCCTCTTACACTGTTGGTGGGAATGCAAGTTGGTGCAGCCTCTTTGGAGAACAGTGTGGAGACTCCTCAAGAAATTAAAAATAGAACTTCCCTATGACCCTGCAATTGCACTGCTGGGTATTTACCCCAAGGATACAGATGTAGTGAAAAGAAGGGCCATCTGTACCCCAATGTTTATAGCAGCAATGGCCACAGTTGCCAAACTGTGGAAAGAACCAAGATGCCCTTCAACGGATGAATGGATAAGGAAGATGTGGTCCATATACACTATGGAGTATTATGCCTCCATCAGAAAGGATGAATACCCAACTTTTGTAGCAACATGGACGGGAGTGGAAGAGATTATGCTGAGTGAAATAAGTCAAGCAGAGAGAGCCAATTATCATATGGTTTCACTTATTTGTGGAGCATAACAAATAGCATGGATGACATGGGGAGTTAGGAGAAGGCAGTTGGGGGAAATTGGAAGGGGAGGTGAACAATGAGAGACTATGGACTCTGAAAAACAATCTGAAGGGTTTGAAGAGGTGGGGGGGTGGGAGGTTGGGGGAACCAGGTGGTGGGTATTAGAGAGGGCACGGACTGCATGGAGCACTGGGTGTGGTACAAAAACAATGAATACTGTTATGCTGAAAATAAATTTAAAAAATGATTTAAAAAAATAAATACCTTTGCCTTATTTATGACTCTCTGAATATTACAAATCTGTTCTCCCACCTTCTCAACACTTGATTAGATCAAGTTTCCACATTGGGTCTTTCATATTTCATTCTGATCCATAGCATATGGTTGGCTGATCAGGGTAAGGAATGTTGCATATTTTTCGTCAGACTACATAGTTTGTACTCCAGTTTAGCATCTTAACATACACAGTGCTAGAATTATAGCCATATAAATATCATGAGTTTCATCATATGGAAATTGACATGTGCTTTAAAATAAAATTCCAAGTGTTAGGAAAACAACATGGGAAATTAACCCCAAAGACAAAATCTAGATGGTTGGCATAAGCATCAACCTAAGAAAATTTTAGTAAAGGACTCTCTATTCTAAGCCCTCCACCTACACAGTGCTCTCCCTCCTTGCCTCATATTATTTGCTGACAATAAGTTATCTGAGCATGCTTTTTACCTATCATTTCATTTCTATGAGAAAGAAACCTAACACTGAGTCTCGACAATTCACTGTAAAAGATAAACCTAGCAAACAATTTCAGGAAATAACCTAATTTTATGATGCCATTTCTTCACCTCGAAGAGTCAGTAGCCTAATTGAAACTGTGTGTAGTGTGGTGCAGTAGAGCAATTTTTTTTCTTCTCTTTTTTATTTTTTGAGTAAGATAACCTGTTCCCTATTTACCTCTGTTGAGCTTGTTTTACAAGTTGATCTCTAATTACAGTCTAATAAATGAAACCAGGAATAAATGTATATAAGGATATCAAATATTTAAT